ATTTGAGGCTATTCAATAGGGGGTGAAGGAAGAGTTGATATGGTATTGAATTATCATAGAATTGATCTGATTGATTGAATTTGATTGTGATTACCAATTACTTCACTCTTTTCGTTATTATGATTATCATTATATTGTTGCATGCTTTGTTTTTGGCTGAATGTATGGAGAACGGTTTTCTTTTATTTGTGTTTTTTATGCTCTTACGCTCAATGAAGTTGTTCTTCGTTACTTGAATATTGTGAAGGAGATAATACGTACCAGATGGAATAAGTATTTATTTTTAACGTTATTATCATTGTTATGTATCAAATAATGAACCAACCATCTTATGATATCGCCATGATAATCACATATATTCGTAAACCTTTCAGAATCTGAAGAACTTTAAGGAACACAAATTGTTTAACGAAACCAATTAAAGACATCGTATATGTGAAGAATTTCCACTTTTTTTCTTTATTTACTTTATTCGCTCAGCTTTTACTTTATCTATTTATCTCTTTATTCGCCGCAAAATAATTTTCAAAAAAAAACGAGTAAAATCACTACAAAACATTCAAACAGTCAAACGAAACGTAATACAATACAATGCAAACGAATAAATTGACTCGATTGTAAGACCATAGGAAAACAAGATAAAAATGCGATCATACACGCTTACAAATGACTGGAATACAACTCTAGAAACAATTCCGTTTCACGAGCACAAGTAGTGGAATCGAACTGTTATTTCGGAGACAGGAAGTGATGATTGAAACGGGTGGTGAAGTCAGCACAACTCAGAGCGGGGATCACATTCGCAAGTTGTGTCCACGAGTGCTTCATGCACGGTTTCATGCATACCAATGAACAGTACGGATAGAACTGACGAGCTTTATGCATTTCCAATGTGGTCACCTTATCACCAGATTCGAATTTAAGCGCACGAGCTGAAAAAGTTTGTTTTTTCATTCAAACGATCTAATAATTATCAATGCGATCGACAGCTACTTCAATAAGTGATTGATAGTTCAAAAACTGGCATGATTCGACGAATACAGTTCGATTGATGGATCCCTGCTATGATGAAATGATGAAGGTGCTGATTGATTGCTAATTAATTGATTCGATGTATGAATGAGTACACTGAGATGATATGTTCGTTGATATGAAAGCAGTGAACAATTTCCAACCAATTCAAAAGCTAGATTATAGAGAGGTCATCAGATTTGAAAGCAATGGAATAATTATTGCGAAGGGAGCGAGGAATTCTCGTTTAAATTGAAGTCTTTCATATTCTTGTCCAAGTAAAAAGACGTTTTCATAAAGTCGTAAAGTTCAGCACCGAATTCATATGAAGAAGTACAAGGTGATTATTCTCATTGGAAATGAGTTAGCCGCTGGATCAGTACGCATCTTTTTATGAGGCATTCATTCTCAACCAAAATTTTTTGTGAAGTTCAAATAAATGTCTGCATTGCATTTACTTAAACTGATACCACAGTTTATGAACAACTGCGATAATAATAATTGAGTTTATGTATGATTCGAACTAAATTGGTCACATATTCTTGTCCAATTGCAATACTCAAATCAATACTCAAATAAATGTAGAGTGGACAGCTATAGCAATATCAATAAAACAATCATCATAATACCACAGAAGTGAATTATAAACAAACTATTTCACCAACCTATCGCATGAATATTGCACGCATGTGTAACAACCAGTATGTTGGCGTTAGATGGTGCTGCCTTTGCGATATGTTGAATAGCCTGAAAACAATTTCAGTATCAGCAACTGACTGGATCGTTTCATTGACTCGAGCAAAACGTTTCAAGGAGAACGGTGTTTTAGAAGATGACATATAAGTGAACCTGATGAGAATGTTCTTGAAATTGTAAGCAATTCTTTGATCGTAATTTAATCAAGTCGCTCATTTTGAAAAATGGCTGATAGTTTTTGTCGATTTGAATTTCATTTTTACTCAACTCATTTTTGTCCATAAACTGTGGCACTCCCTTAAGTAAACGCAAATGATAAATCCATCTAAATCGGATCGAATTAATCAATCTCAATGGACCATTTCATTTCATGTCACTGCTCAGCTCGTTCTAACTTGATGAATTTATCAACAAAAATTTCGACCATTTATTCCTGACGCTTTTAATTGTTGAAGGGTTCACGAGAAACTTCAAGTCAACTTTCAGATAAATCTTTCCAAAAACTTTTCATTTTAAAATGACTTGAAATGATGCAACCGAAAGATGACAAAAATCGTTTGGCGCTATGCGGAATTCAACCTCTGACCCCCGTTACGCTGAATGAATAATTACCGACAACTTTATCTATTAATAACGACAATTATCAATAACAGTTCGGCACGACACAATAAACTCCGTAAATCTGCATCCGTGAAGTGTATTAAAGAATGAAACATGATGCCAACAATTAAAGTTCGACATTGCATTAATTCGTTCCAAGAGCCGACCGATATTCAAAAAATTTGCTCGTTTCTTTAATGGCAAAAATTTTGCGGATCCGAAACGTTTTTGGAAAGGTGTAACCGAAAAATGGCAAAAATCATTGACGCTGCGTGGGGTTGAACTTGGGACCCCCAGTGCATTGAAACAACCGTGTGAAACAATTGCGCCATTGAGCTTCACTGTTTTTCGAAGGCATTTTACTCACCTCAGGTCCCTCATTATACTATAAGTTTGTACATTTTGTAATCCACTGATCAATCCGAGACGATTGGTACCAAAGTTATCGAAAAAGGAGCATAAAACCATAATTTTCACTGCCTAGTTCGTTCCAACTTGATAAATTTATGAACAAAACGAATTTAATGACCGAATAGATTTGATANGCTATAAATTTGTACATTTTGCAATCCACTCATCAATCCGAGACGATTGGTACCAAAGTTATCGAAAAAGGAGCATAAAACCATAATTTTCACTGCCTAGTTCGTTCCAACTTGATAAATTTATGAACAAAACGAATTTAATGACCGAATAGATTTGATAAGGAAATAATTCAATGAATGCGTGTAAACATAAATGAATGAATATCTAAAGAATTAAAATCTGAAAAACTAAATACCAATCAAGTCGAACAAACAACGAAAAAATTACTCACTAAGCGATGTATCTCACAAAAACTGTAAAGCATCGGCTCGATTCTCAAAAGAACTTTTTTCTTTTGCGCATTCGTCAGTTTATGCGCCGTTTGGATGCATCGTAACGATGGACTGCAGTAAACGGCATCGAATTCGATCGCTTTTGCTTGCAGCGCTTCGCTGATCATTTCGCACATCCTGAACGGATTACTCTCTTAATTGCATGACGATAACTATTCGTATCATCTTCAATCAGCTCCTAAAACGACTGAAACTGAAAATTCCTTGCGCAAAAATCCATATGAGATTGTAGTTCTTAATGTAAACCTTCCAGATCATTTTAGAGAATTTGCGAAAGATTTCACAAAATGAAGTAAAATTCAAAGTGAAACATCGCACTTCGAGCCAATCACAGTGAGTGGAGGATCGTTTTTGAATGCGCTCATCGAGTTACGATGCGGTAATTCCAGCGGCTGATTCAAGTCATATCTGCAAACCTTTGCATCGTATCATTCATTTTCACTGATGAAGTTTATCAGTTGAGAATACAGCAAGGTGCTAATCAAATTTCATTCAAATCACCGAATTCGAATTTTTATCTCGATCATTTGAAACAAAATCGCGTGATGATCTCTTAATGTATCAGAAGGATTGAAAATGAAACGAGCTCACCATCGAAAAACTAGAAATTCACCAAACAAATTCTTGTTTCATCAATCAAAATCTTGTTCCATATAGCGTAGTCAATTAATGACCGAAATGTTGAAAATTCATGTTATTTCAGTTCGTCAACTACATTCAATCAAAGACCTGACAAGATCACAACGTTGTTTTTATACCAAACAAATAACAGATTTTGCAGGGTATTTGAGACAAACCTTTCATATTTTCCATTCACGAACGATTTTGCCATCCAATGATCACAAATATTTGTCAATGATTCCGAATTTCGGAACAGAAACAGTCGCATATCATTCTAAAATTTCAGTCTCTTTTTCAAATTGCAGAATTTCAAGTGCTTTATCTCGGAAATTGATGCAATCCAACTGCATTTGACATTTTCGGCCAATCGCCCGTCTAGATGAAGAAGCAGCCGAGTCCCATCACACCGCTTCCCTCTCCTGACCTTCCGCATTCCAGTTCGTTCCAAATACAACGGTACTTAAGGGCAACTTGCAAGAAAGATTTAAAAAAAAACAGAGTGATGATTTTAAGAATTACAGTTTTTGAAGAAGTTAATTAAAAAGTTTGAGAAGTGATCCATCTAAGAAGTTTATTTACGAAGAAATTGGGAACTTTCGTGGAAATCGCTGCTACTGCTGCTGCTTCTGCATGCCATTCATGTTCAATGATGAGCGATACGGCTCATTTTGAGAGGCACTGCTCTAGAACGTAAAACTGACGGAATTCTCAGTGCGGCAGACGTTGGTAAGCTGACGAGTTTAGTAATTTCATCCATGAAAATTTATTTGGTGCGGAGTCATCGTTGTGTACAACAAAGCACATAAAGACACTTCTAAGCAATGCACATGTTTCGATGAGTTATATTCACATATTTTGGTTGTAACGAACCGAATCCTGGAAACCTCTCTTCATCGCTTTCAATTCGTTCTCTTCTTCGCTATCCATTTCGAAAAGCGATTCTCGCATTGAGACGTCGCTGGAGCTTGAAACAAAGATTTCAAGTGTGAATTTTTTGAAAATTCTTTCGCATTCGAAGAACAGTTCAAAACTAATAAAAATACTTCGATGAGATGAAGTGATATGAAGGTTTCGATGAAATTTCTAAATATTTCACTAGCTACGTATAGAATATGAAAATGTACAGGTTGTGTTCAGTAGAAACCATTTTTGAGCAATGAATCACGCATCTATACATCATATTTCTTCATGACGACTGTCGTGAGATGTTTTGAAATTTACAAAAAGTATACAACTTTTAATGAAGGATCTCCATATGCTAGTACAATTAGCAATAATGAACTAAGCTTATTAGAACTAATCTGATTAGAATAATAACAACACCAACAATACTAACAATTAAATAATGAATGAAATAATAAAAATCCTGAAATACGCTTACGGTTGACTATAAGAGGGTAATGAAAGAAGTGAAAAAAACAATCCACTCACTGATTTGATCCATCACTGAGGCCATCCAGATCCGTGTCGTCGTTTTCTAGCAACTCACCAACGGTCATTTTCCGTGGTTCGTTGAAGCGATTCGACATTTGTATTTCTTCAATCAAATCTTCACGGCAATTTCAATGTGAAACGAAGTAAAAAAGTTTCGCAAATGTACAAAAAGTTAACGCAAATATGGATCCACTGAACTGTTTAATTCGGTAAGCAAGTCAATCTCCTGTTGGTGATAAAGCAGAAGCATAGCTCGTGACAAGTTTTCCTGATCAAGAATTCGGCGAATTCATTTTTTGAATTCATAAATTCAGTGGTTAAGTCCGAGAAATTACACACACTGATTGCATTCTCCTTTCAATGAGTCATACTTTTTCCAGAACTTATAGCCACGACTTTATATGCAACGATTAAGTCAAGTCACGCATACTGGACGATTAAGATCGCTTACGAACAAGTCTTCAGAGTTCGACGTGCAGCAGCTGACCAGAAA